AAGGACGGAACGCTGATATTAGAGAAAGAAAAAATCTTCAGCGCTGGAACGAATATATTGGAGAACTCTTCCACGTCGACAGAGAACAACCGGCAATACATAGAAATATGGACGGGGCGGAAATATTAAAAACCGAAGTGGAAGCTGCATTGGCCAAATTGAACAGAAACAAAGTGGCACGGATAGACGGAATTGTAATGGAGATGCTGACATCATTGAATGATTTCAGCATAGAAAAGGTTAAAGAAATAATGAATGAAATCTACGACTGTGGCGATATTTATGCTTAGAGTGTTATCAGAAAGAGCAATACAAATGCAGAAGAACGTGTACTTGTGTTTTATAGACTACGCAAAGGCGTTCGATATAGTAAGCCACAAAAGGTCTGTTAGAGCTGCTCAGTAGCCTTGAAATATTCGGGAAAGACATTAGAATAATCAAAAATCTCTACTTGTAGCAAACCGCCTGTATACGGATAAAAATGAATTCAGCAGATATACAAAAATAGAAAGGATTGTAAGGGCAAGGATATCTTTTCTCACCTTATTTATTCAACCTATACAGCGAAGCAATTCTGAAAGAACTGGAAATTCATCATTAGCGGCCACAATCTTAACAACGTAAGTCGACTGCAGTGGTGGTAGTAGACACGGAAAGGAGACTACAAAAACACCTACGGAAGGTAGCGAAAGAAGAAGAAGAAGAAGAAGGAGGAGGGGAGGAGGAGAAGGAGGACGAGAAGAAGAAGAAGGAGGGGAGGAGGAGAAGGAGGAGGAGGAAGGGAAGAAGAAGAAGAAGGAGGAGGAGGGGATGAGGAGAAGGAGGAGGAGGAGAAGGAGGAGGAGAAGGAAGAGAAGAAGAAGGAGAAGGATGAGAAGAAGGAGGAGGAGGAGGAGAAGGAGGACGAGAAGAAGGAGAAGGAAGAGGGGAAGGAGGAGGAGAAGAAGAAGAAGAATGGTCGAAGCATAAACTACAAAAAGACAGAATGCCTGTTCATCAGCAAATAGCTGAACCCAAAATGCCATTTACAGGTCGGGGACCCTGAAATCAAGCGAGTACAGAAAATTAAATATCTGGGACGTGTTCTGCGGAAAGTGCGACACTGTGATCCGAAGACGTCTTGTGATGGCCAAAGTCGCATTCCAAAAGCTAGGCAGAGTATTACGAGACAGGAAAATTTCGCTGGAAACTTGATATCTGTCCTCCTGTATGGCAGCAAATGCTGACGAATCTCCTCAAAGATGACAAAGAAACTCAAACAACAAAAATGTGGTTCTACAGAAAGATGCTAAGGGCCGACCATATGAGTAACGGCGAGAGAGAATGGAAACAAAGAAGACATTTATACTTAACCTCAGTTTCAATTTCTGGGGCACGTAATGAGGAATGAGTGCTTGGAAAATATGATACTCACAGGGAGGATAGAAGGAAAGAGGAACAGGAGAAAAGCAACGCGTGACATATTTAATGGGCTTGAATAAAGGAGTAGCGGAACAGGGTCTGGGAGAAATAACAAAAAGACAGAACTTATTAAGATTTACAAGGAACAGGAGGAGGCACAAGGCCATGATCACCTACGTCCTGAAAGGACAGGGTACATAAAAGAAAAGACAGGTATCATAAATCACGTGAGTTTTATGATCATAGATTTTTTTCTCTGGCGTGTGAAACTCTCACACCGTTTCCCGCTTTTTTGCTTTCATATCAACAATAATCTTCAAAGATTTAAATGCAACGTCAATCGTCAACTTCTGTCACCTTGAAAACAGTTCTTTTATTGTTCTCTGTTTCTTTCGCTCTCAGTTACACCTTGCATCCTAATGTCTTTGATCCCATTGCTTGGGGTAAAATGATTTATAAAAAAAGATATTAAAAGAATCTTTATTTACCGTTTCATCCCCAAGCCAGGCGATAATGTCACGAGAATGCAGAGTGTGAAAGAGAATGAGAAAACTTTAGCGAAGATAATTGAGGCATGGAGAATATATGGACAGGGTTCAGAAAGACCGAAGATAGTGATTGACGTTGCATTTAGATTTTTGAAGATTGTAGATGTCAGGGATGCAATAAAGCGGAAGGGAGTTCCACAGGTGGGAAGTGCCAAAAATGAAAATGTTAGAGTAGAAGTGGCGGTTGGATCTAGCTAGTGCAACAGTAAAATGGTGATACCTCGTTGTCAATCTAGTAGCACGCTTGAAGTCATCTAGTTGAAACACCATAGAAAAAAAAAAGCTCATCAGAACAGTTGTCTTTAAAATATTTGTAGAAAAGACAGAGGGAAGCCACGTCACGTCAGTGAGAAAGAAACTGAAGTCGAGTTGCCAGGACAGGATCGATTGCATTATAGACCCTTCTTTGAATTTTGTCAAGAATCTACACATATAGAACATGAGCACCAAGCCAGATATGACAAAAATATTCAATGCTCTGACGAATGCTAGATTTATAAATGTGCAAGATGGGTTCTAACGGGGAAAAAACATTTTTAGTACGACGCAGTGAACATACATTCCTAGCAGTAGACATGCCAATTCGATATAGTCGCTTCACTTAATGTCAGTGGAAAACACGAGGCCAAGAAGGTGTAGCCTTTAGCACCATCCATGCTGATGACTGGCAGAAAAAGTTATCTGTGGTGATGAAATGAAAGCAGTTAATGTTTTGGATGCATTACAATTTACAAGCCAATACTTACCTCAGTTAACCACTGATTGAAGACACTTATCAAGAGCAGTTTCCCGGTTTACTTTTACAGCTGAACCGGCTTCACTACTAAGACAAGAGTAAATAGTTGTTTCATCTGCATAAATATCTACTTGGGAAGTGATGACATTGGGGATATCATTGATGAAGATCAGAAACAGCGTAAGTTCAAGGATACAATACTGGGGGACCCGGCGTTGGTATGAAATGATCTGGACGCATGCTCGTTCAACATGACATTCATTACACAATTTGTTAGGAACGATTGGATTAAGTCAAATATTCGTGACACCATAGCCTTTGAGATTGCGGAGTCGGCTAGCATGCCAAAACCCTGTCGAACGCGTTTGAGGTATCTAGAGCCATAGCCCAAGCTTCGACATTCTTATCTAAAGCTTGATAGACAAATTCCTTTTCAGCGGTAGACCTAGCGAAACAGAATCCATAAAACTCTAAACTCCCTAAAACTTCGTTCTTGTTCACAAGTTCAGTTCATGGTATCAACAACATCCTTCTGTAGAACCATATTTCTCTTGCTTCAAGTCTTTGAGGAGGTTATCAAGTATTCACTACCATATAGGAGGACAGATATCATATAACAGTTCAGGACTCCTTTTTTTCTGTTTCTTAATACATTACTTAGCTTTTGGAATACGTCTTTGGCTATTCCAATGCGCCTTCGGATTTCAGTGTCGCATATTCCATTTTCTATTAAAACAATTCCCAGATATTTAAATGTTTGTACTTCTTTGATTATGGTATCTCCGATTTGTAATTTGCATTTTGGGGTCATCATTTTGCTAACGACTAAGCATTATGGGAGTTTTTTTTTTCGTGTCTGCTATTAACACTGTGTCATCTGTATATACTGCATCCGCCAATAATGAATCTTGGTAGGACATCTGATTCTCTCAAAATCACCTCGCTCTACAGATTGAATACGTTCGGTGAGAATACACATCCTTGTCTTACAGCACTTTCTGATTTTGTATATTTACTGAACTCATTTTCTATCTGCATACAGGCGGTTTTCTGTCAGTATAGATTCTTGATTATTCAAATATCCTTCTCAAATATGTCAAAGTTGCTGAGCCATTCCAACAGCTACGCAAATCCGAATTCTGCAAATCTAAAAGATACATTTTCCACCAAAACATTTCAAAATAAAAGTACATTTTGATATTTTTGAATATCAGATTAGGACAAAATTTTAA